AGTTCGTTTACACAACTCTTTCCCTCGCTGCGCGATGCATTATGCTCTCGAGACGTAGTGACCTGAAATCTTCGACCTCCGCGCCGCCTCTTCTCGAGGGAACGCGCGTGCATACGCCTCGTTATTCAGGCGTGCTTCCTACGGGTTTGCGTTATACAACGTGTTCCGAAAATCTTTGTGTGTACCGGTGAACGACGGGATTTTCGTCACATTGGCGAAACGGCGAATTTGTGTTCTCGTCTCTGTTCTCTTTCCTGACGAGAGGATATTCTTTTCGAGAGTCTCCAAAATACGCTTAAAAGTCTCATACGTTGTAATGCGACGGCACTAGTAAGGTGATATGAATACATCGGGTTGTAACGGTTAAAACGATCGTCGTTACTTTTAAAGCACTCGGTGAAGATCGAATTGGCTGCAATCTCATCAACGATTTCTTTTCTTTTACAATCAGCTACACAGCTTTGAAGATTGATGTTACATATACATTTAAATAAAATAAAATTTACTTGGCAGATCACTTGTCATTAAATATTTCTATGATACATGTTACATATCATTCTAGCGTATATTCCGTTAATTAAGGAAAAGAATAGAAATCCAGCGTTGTCTCCTTAATTTATGTTATTATTAAATAATTTCATATCACGCGTGTTATATATATATATATATATATATAATATCAGCGTATATTTCGCGTAAAATGAAGGAGATAGTAAACATTTAGGTTGTTTTTTAAACTGTTTTTTAAATCGTGACGATTTCGCCTACTTTGCGAAATTACGGGAGACAAGAAAGTATGGCGAGAGAATTCAAGGAAGAGAGAGAGAGAGAGAGAGAGAGAGAGAGAGAGAGAGAGAGAGGAGAGAGAGAGAGAGGAAAGAGAGAGAGAGAGGAGAGAGAGAGAGAGGAGAGAGAGAGAGGAGAGAGAGAGAGAGAGAGAGAGAGAGAGAGGAGAGAGAGAGAGAAACATCTCTGATATGACTGATATGAAACGCGAGTCTCGAGACTGGTGTCATTTTCTACCCGGTATGCTGTCCGGCCGACTACTTCTTCTGATGGAGTGCTTCGTCCGCGCGCGCGCTCGCGCTCGCGAGCTCGCAACCCCGGAGAGCACTCGAGGCCGAGTCGAGAGAAAGGGAGAGAGAGTGAGAGAGAGGGGGGAAGAAGATGAAGAGAGGGAGAGAGAGAGAGAGAGAGAGAGAGAGAGAGAGAGAGAGAGAGAGAGAGAGAGGGGGTAGACCTCTCTACATGGGTGGTCCATTCTTCTTCTTACGCATGCATTATATAAGTCTTGTAAAGTTCACACTAAGGACAACAGGAGCTGGCCAGACGGCAGGATTCGTTAATTGTACCCGGTGGTCGACCCGCGAGAGGATGCTAGAACGAGCTCGGGAACGCGAGAATCTGCGATAAAAATTGACATCTCGCTCCGTTATATTTGCCGAATGAACATCGAGAGATAAGATGTAGCTGATAATGTCACTTGAGATAATTCGTCGTGATTGGATCTGTTTGAATTGCGACCTGAGATTCGCGTGAATTCCCCTGATGAAGAGTGTGAGGATGGATGGCTCTCGTCTTCGGAAGAGAAGGAGCATGGTTAATATATCGATGGTCGTACGACCGAAAATCTGATAATTCCGGAACACTCTGTATATGTGCGCGCTGTGCGGAGTCGAATATGAAATCCGCTGCTGCTGCAGCTGCAATCGAAGCAATGCTCGAAGCATGACTCGGGATTATAAAACATGTATATTCTCGAGATCGGCTGCGGGATTGTCGCGTTGGCGGCTACTGATAAGGTGATTCGTCATCTTCTCACGCGTGCTCGCGTTGTGGTTATTATTGCAATTCCTTATTCCTCTTATATCCCGATGGCGTATTTGAGGGACGCGTATATCTGACTTTTAAAGTCAGATCTCAAGTTTTGCTTAGATGAACAAAAGCTTTAGGATTTCAGGATATATTTCCCGTTGAAAAAGCGATATGTTTCTTACAAAATTGTTGATTCTAATTGATACATTCTAAAAATTGAATATTTTTATATTGCCGGAGTACGGTAGTAAAACTGTTAGTAACTATAGCTAGGAGCTACAGAATTCTCACAGCTTCCATGTTTTGCCCATATGAAATTTTGTATATCGGAGTACATTTGAAATTTGCAGGGTGATATTACTTGAGCTTGAGAATATGTGCGACAGAGCAAGAACAGAGCGGGAGAAGGATTAAGCCTCTGTCTCGAGAACAGTCCAGGGTAATACGGCCGATTCATCATGCAGCGTGTCTTGCTCGTTCTCCTTTTCTGGACAACGGACGAACACGAGGGACATCAGGAGGGAGTATCAGGAAGAGAGAGAGAGTGAGAGAGAGAGAGAGAGAGAGAGAGAGAGAGAGAGAGAGAGAGAGAGAGAGAGAGCGGGAAGGAGTGAGAGACAAAGAGGGGAGGATGGGGAGATATACATTGCCTGTATTTCGCAGATAAGGACAAACCCTATTTCGTATAACGCTGACAACCCCGACCCTTTCAGTACGATCAGATTCACCATCCACCCGCACCCTTCTCCCTTGACTACATTCCATGGGTCTCTCGTCTTTGCACTCGTCGCGTTGGAATTTCATATGGTCGCGATGAAACGCTACAAACGCGAAGTTACGAGATGTCGCGCGAGAAGGAACGATTAGAAACAATGCCGTGAGCGATCAATCTTACGTTATGTGTTCATTATTTCCGGAAAATAATATTTCCGGAAAAACACGCGGGTAATTGACTTTCGTGATACTTTCTTCTGTGCATCATACCACGCTCCGTTGTATCGCCTTTAAATCATCTTGTGTGTGTGTGTGTGTGTGTGTGTGTGTGTAACTCCTTCCTCATCTTTCGCTCGAATTTATTGGATATATTTACAATATATTCTTCAAAATAATTATTCTAGAGTATGATACACCATCTCAACGAAATATATATAATCTAATATTTTTCTTTACCCTTGATAAATAAGGTTCAAAGTTTATTCAACTTCTCGCTTCTCGCTTTGGTATCGTGTTATTAAATAATAAACAGTTGTCATTGTATCGTACTGCTTGCAAAATAATAACAAATTAAAGAGCATAGGCGTAATTCTCAACTTCCGCAAAAATAATAGTAATGAGGTGGTTCGGAAATTATTTTGCCGCTAAAAATTGTTAGCTTTCGTACGTACTTGCGTGCCTAAAATTCATTTGTTTCTCATGCAGCCATGTAATGTCACGAATATAAATCGAGATCCATCAAACGTTAAAACTTTCTATTCAATTTCGATCGAGTAAACAATCGCGTAAACAAAAAAATAAACGAATAACGTTTATATCGTTTGTGGAATTTCAATCGAAAGATGCGGTTGAGAAACGTACAATCGTCATCTCTCTTTTAATTCGTTGTACGATAAACTTAAGAAGATGATAAACGAGAGAATAGCGTTATAAATTTAATATTCCTGAAAATGAGAGGGAACTGCAACAAGCTTCAGAGCATTTCTTGGAACATTTCGTCATTATTATCATTGCCGAAGGGACAAATTGTAAAATTTTATCTATGTTTTATACAATGGAAATTACGGCTAACCCGTGTGTTGTCGAGTCGTATTACTTGAGAAATAAAAAATACGTCTGATTTATTTTCGAGTTGCACTACGATCCTGACGTATCCTCAGTCAGTACAGTAATGGCGGCTCGTAGCGGAGACTTGCGGGAACTAAATGTCGATATTACAAACGAGAGTTGTGGGATTACGGACTACAGGAGGGTCTGCAGAGACCTCTTGTGGAGATCCGCGAAATGAGCAAAGGCTTTTGCCGTTTATTGATGAGAATCCACTGACAATCATGAGACGCAAACCTATATACCTACCTACTAAATCAAAAGGAGGCGGATAAGATTGTGAGTTGAATCTCAGCTAAATTATCTTATGGACGCTGGTAAATAGCGGTTCCACTCTCGACTAAATTTATCCTCAGTCCAGTAAATCTAATCGAGACTTAAACCACGATTTACCGGCGTCCGTGAGACGTAGTCGAGTAGGCTTGAATCATAATATTTATCTCTCTTATATTCTCTGGTTCACGGTTCAGACATTAAAGGATATTTAAAAAAGGCGGAATATCTTCTCTTACGTCTTTGAGATATATTTTTAGACGTTTGTTGTCTAAAGGATTGTTTTCCATAAAATATGTCGCTTTTATCACCTTACAAAGTGTCATGGCACACGTGGCGACAAATCGCTTCATCAAATGCAAATCTTCGAGTATGACGTCACGCACTGTATCCCCGAAGGAGACTTCGTTCACCGTGAGCTCAAGTCTGAAGAAAAGAAAAACGAAAATTAGACGGAAAATAACGGATCGCGTGGAAAGACGGAGTCGCGAGGACAGCGATAAGGATAAATAAAATATCTTACGGCGCGACGCGCGACGTATCAGGATTATATGCAGATAAACGCTATCCACCGTCGCGTGTTCACTTCAGTGACATCCTTAAATATTTAACGCGCTTTCTACTCCCGTTCTCGCAAGTAAATACACCCGTATTACCGTGGACATAATATGTAAAGTTGAACTTTGTTAAAATAGAGAGAGAATTTTTTCTTGCGGAAAAAAACCATCGTCCATACACACGCTCTGCTATTATAGTAATATCAAATTCCGTCGAGGGGAATGTGCGGCAAAATACGGCGATCTGCAGACACTGTAAAGTCAGCTACCGCTGTTTTATAGAAAGTTGGGTGTCTTCGCGATTAACGCGTATCGCGAGGATTTTATCGGCGAACGGTTGTCGGGATACCAATAGAGGTAGTTCGTCCGGAGAAGAAGTCGCGGAACTCGCGAATCGGGCACAAGACGCACGCACAGCCGATCGATCAATCGACCGAAAGACCGATCGCGACGAAAGAGAAATTCTCCAAGACTGATCTCTTGCTAAGCAGAGAGAGAGAGAGAGAGAGAGAGAGATAGAGAGAGGGAGAGAAAAGGGAAGAAGAGAAAGATGGAGACTCGAGAAATGAGAGTGATGCGATTCACATTGTCGATCCTCGCGCTCGCCGGATGCTGGCGACCGTTCTCGTGGACCTCGCTGGTCAAGCACGTGCTGTACAACATTTATACGCTTCTGGTGATCAGCGTGCTATACAGCTTCACATTTTCACAATTTATGGAAATTGTGCTGAATGTTAGCAATCCTAACGACTTCACCAACATCTTGTACACAATGATGGCGATGATCGTCGCGTGTTGCAAGGTGCTCAGCATGTGGATGAATCACGAGAGCTTCGTGGTGTTGATACGTAAGCTTAATGAGGGGACGTTCAGGCCGTTGGTGCCCGCCGAAAGAGAGATCCGACGGAAATGCGACGAGACGATACGGTAAGCACGGCAAATTACATCATCGCCCCGTTTCGTGACGATTGTACGTATGTATACGCGGTGACTGCGGATATCTTGCGGATGGACGGTAACACGTTCCATCGGTGTGTTGCCGTACCATTACCGAATATATTACATGCACATCCGTATAAAATCTTGATATATCGTTACGTGTATAACGGTGCGAATTGCACCGTTCAATTTTTGTAGTCGCCATTTTGCGACGGCCAAACTTCTTTGTCTTTCTCCGACTCGTTGTTTTCTCCTTTGTTCCGTACCGTTGTGTATTAATTTTGGCCATAATATGTCTGAAATTAATATGTCTGAAATAAATATGTCTGAAATTAAGCTGTTAGATTAGGATCATATTATTTATGTTTCCGGCATTGTTGCATCACGCGTAATCAGTGGTCAAATTGAAAGTCCGTCAAAGTCAAAAGTAAATTAAAAGTAAGAAATTGCTCAAATTGCGCATGTGAAATTCTCTCCCGGCGTGCTTTCTCCAGGAACAACGCGATGTGCTACGCGATCCTGATCGAGATCACGTGCGCAGGCAACGTCTTGGTATCGTTGCTAACGAATTTTCGCAATAGGAAACTTACATTCCCTGAATGGGTGCCGTATGATTATTCGCCGTACGTGATCTACTGCCTCACGTACACCTATCAGTACGTAAGCGTGATCACCGCGTCGTTTGTTAACGTCGCCTGCGACAGTTTCATTGTCGGATTTTTATTGCACGTGTGTTGCCAAATCAGCATTCTGAACTACCGTTTGAAAAATATCACGAGCCACAACACTTTGAACTACTGCGTGCGCCACCACTACGATATAATCGTGTTAGTCTTTGTAAGAATTTTATTATACAAGATTCTCTCTCTCTCTCTCTCTCTCTCTCTCTCTCTCTCTCTCTCTCACTCTCTTTCTTCTTCCTCTTCTCTCAATGTATATTTCTTAGCTCTTGATTGTGAAGATTATGAACTTTTCAAATGCAACATGATTATTTTTAACTGAAATACATTTTCAAAATGCCATAATTTCACTGGATTCTATGATACCTATACCATTTCCTTCACTGTTCACACCTTCATTTGCTCGCGACTGATTCTTTGGTGCCGCAGTGTGCCGTTTAACGGAAGAAAATATTTTGATTGCAGGTACGCGCGTATGGTCAATACGAGATTCACGGGAATCATTTTATTTCAGTTCGTGACAAGCACGTTTGTGATATGCTCGAATCTCTACCAGCTCACGAAAACAACCATAGGCATGTATCACATCGCGTTGATCACGTATACATTTTGTGTAATGGCGCAGATTTTCCTCTACTGTTGGTTTGGCAACAAGCTCAAAGTGACGGTACGCGTAAGCGTAAATTTGTGTCCAACACGATGATTTGTCAATTCCAAAAGAAATCTGAGAATTCCGGGAGTGAAACCCTTTTCTCACCGGAGAACAGCGAAAAGAAAAATAAAATTCTTTGCGCTACACTAATCTGAGCAGATCGATCAAAGGGAATTTACTTATCAAAGAATTCCGTTCACAGAGCCTGCAAGTGCTCGATACCATTTTCGAGATGGAATGGACTCGATTGGATAATAAAATCAAAAAAAGCCTTTTGATAGTCATGAGTCGTGCGACGGTACCTATCGAGTTTAACAGCGCGTACCTTCTGAATATGAATCTCGATTCTTTCGTAGGGGTTGGTACAATATATAGAATATGTATTATATATCGTGCTATATGCTCTGACAAAAGAAATTTTAATCATTCTTGATTTGTATTTGTGATTATTACAGTTGCTCAAAACGTCATATTCCGTTTACAATTTGCTAGTGCAAGTGCAAGAAACATAAAAATATGTAAAAGCAGGTGCTTTCGTGAAGCATTATCATCTACATAATTATTTTTATGTAAATTGTCAACGATAGATTTATGTATGTAGACTGGCAAAATAGCCTTAACATATAGTACAACTTACCCTATAATATTTTCCAATTATATACATTATTAATATTATTAATATTTTCCAATCACACACAGACACACACACACACACACAATTATATGTGTTTTGTTAAAAATATTAAAATAATATCATCGTAGCGACAAATTATCAGGCTTGATACATTGTTCTTTTTTTTCAATTTAATATACAACAGTATCAATAATGCATATTTCATTAAAAAAATTTTTTAGTAACCTTTAGTTGCATGCGTGTGTGTGTGTGTGTGTGTGTGTGTGTGTGTGTGTATGTGTATGTTGAGGTTGTTATACTGTTTATGTATACGTAAAATATGCATGGCGCAACAACATGAGAAGAGATGTAACATGTTTTCACATGTTCGTGCCTAGAGAGCGTATAGAATAAAATTTTACAGAGTATCCAGAGTAACAATGTCAAGAGCAATTATTCTTTAATGGCATCGCAACGACCCCCAATTAGCCCAGATACAAACAATTATCACTTTTCTATTTACAAAATTATAAATAATAATTTGCGTTACAAGAATTAAATTGCATTTTTTTCATTTATAGCGATTAAAATTATAACTTACACACAATAAATCGCTTCGCAAGCAACCTTGTGCTTTTAACAATTCATTGTTCTCCGTGAATAGTGAACAGTTTTAACATTTTCAGATCCAAGTTGAATGGCACGCGCGAACTTTGATGTCGCATCGCGCAATTTTCTTAGCTTGTTCTTTGATATAATTTTATTCCGACGAACGTTGATACAATGCGAAATCGTAAAGCTAATCGCTCATATCCGCTCACATCGCTAACAATCAATCAAGATTCCACCAACATGCTCGGTCGACTACGTTGTTAGTGTATCTTGGATGTAACTCTTCCGCCGTTTGCATAACGACTGCAGAAATCGATATGCCGCGATATGCCGCGATATGCCGCGAGATAATAAATAATGCGTTAAAATGTCATCGATGCCATCACCGACTGGTCACATACACACATACACGATTTATTATTGAATGTACGTACAGAAGAAAGACATAGTGGTCTTTCGTTCTTATCGGTTAGCGATATTATCAGTTTCATCTGTTATATCCAGACAGTATTGAAATGAATATACCGTTTTGTCATCTAATTGCGCGATGCAAATTGCATGCGAAAATATGACCGCTGATTTGCATAAGTATCGTCTCGTGTGCAACTGTCGCGAGAATTTGGTACGGTAAATAATATAAAGCATGCGCCGAAGAAGAAGAAGACGGAAAAAAATGAGAGATAATTTTATCGTCGCAAGATTGTGTCACATATGCCTTGTATGTGTGCGTGTGGGAATCCTTGGGTATGAAATAAATTTTTACTGCCTCATTCCTCTGCCTCACTCACTCACTGTGCGACGTCGGCTCGAGAAGTTCCCTTGAGAAAGAATAAAGAAAAAAAGAGACCGAGACCGTTCGAGGACTTGTGGAATTGAGAAATTGAGAAACAGCGGATCCCCGTGACATCGAAGCCCGTGACCATAGTCGAACACGAACACAAATGACTTATACGTTTATTTAGACGCGTTTGTTTTTAATTAAGCGCTCGTTGGAGATGCGCGTTTTGAGATTGACGCTTCGGATCGTTATGTTCGCCGGCTGCTTCCGGCCGTTATCATGGCTGTCGCGGTTCAAACGTACCGCTTACAATATCTACAGAACATTAATAATCACCTTTTTGTACACCTTCGCGACGCTGCAATTCATGGACATCGTCCTGAAGGTCGACAATCCCGACGACTTCACCGACAATTTGTACATGATGCTAAACGTATCTGTGTCCGGCTACAAATTGTTTATCATGTGGGTAAATTATGAGGACATTGTGACTATCATCAAGAGTCTCACCGAGGAGCCACTCAAGCCTTTGGATCCGGGCGAGATGGAGATCCGTTGCAAATTCGATTCTCTAATTAGGTAAACATCTCTCGATATCGTTATCATACTCCTACTCCTCGGCATATCACTGGAGTCCGGATTCGTCGTGTGTTTCGAATTTCGTTTACTTCTTTCCAACAGTTTGATTTATGTTCAGCAATTGATGGTCGTTCTTTCTGCCAAAGTCGCCCGAAGTTGCTCTTTCGAGAAACAAGAAGAGCATTCTTTCAGCTTCCTTTTCCAGGAACAAATTAATCCTTTAGTTTCATTAATACCGCGATCGAGCGTATCGAACTTCCCACTTGTACTTACGACTTAAGCGGAATTTCTTTACCGATATTCTACTTTCTTTGATGCGCTTTGATGTGATTTCCGAGAATGTCTTTTCAAAACATACATCGAACGCGGTAATCTCGACTCCCTCGATTGTTTTTCAGAGCCAATACGTTGCGTTACGCACTTCTAATCGAGACTTCATGGACATGCACCGGACTGACGTCGTTGCTCGTCGATTTCAGGCAAGGGAGGTTAACGTACCGGGAATGGGTGCCGTACGATTATTATGCGTCTTACGCCTTGTTTTTCGTTACGTATGCTCATCAATTTTTAAGTACGTTCTACTGTGCCACCGTGAATGTTGCCTGCGATACTCTGATATGCGGCCTCCTGATGCACGTGTGCTGTCAGATGGAGATCTTGGAGTATCGCTTGAAGAAGATCAGCCAACAGGATGATCTCAGCTACTGTATACGTCATCACAATAGCATATTCCAGTCAGTTATCGCAGAAAAAATTAACTCTCTTTCACACACACACACACACACACAGATTCTCTTTGTTATTCGAGGTCGCTGCTGTCTATATGCGCGAACTGTGGCATAACAGTGACCTCGACGGTGAAATAATTGTACAAGTTAACTCGGTTCTTCTCGTTCGTCTCTGATGAGCATCATGAAGCTGCAAGAGTAAAAACTTTTGGACGGATTGCAGATTTGCGCGTGCGGTGAACGAGGGGTTCGCGCGGATCATCGAATTCCAATTTGTAACGAGCACATTGATAATATGCTCCAACTTGTTTCAATTGAGCAAGTCGACAATGGGCGCGAATAATATCGCGCTGGTTGTGTACACATGCTGCATGCTGACCGAGATATTTATCTACTGCTGGTTCGGAAACCGAGTCAAGTCGAAGGTACGTCTTTCGTCCTTCGTGAGTAAGAGCGTCTAGTCCCGACGCGGGTCTTTGTGAGAGGCTGCACGTACGTGCAAGAAAATTGCCAAAAATTCTTCACGAACAGGCGAAACATTGAGAAATTCTACAAATATACAAATGTACATCGACCTGTATCCCCTAGAGTCTTCAGTTGGCAGATAGCGTTTTCCAATTGCACTGGTTACCTTTGAACAATAGCGTCAAGAAGAGCTTGCTGATAATCATGAAACGCGCCACCGTGCCCATCGAGATTGTTACCGCGTATATCCTTCCTTTGAACCTGGACTCCTTTGTGGCGGTAGATATATACAACAATTGGCACACATGACTAATCGAAATGAGTGAAATTTTACTTGAAATTTGCGCCTAACGGATCTCGTGTTATTCCAGATCCTCAAGACATCATACTCTGCTTACAACTTGTTGGTACAGGCACAAGAATAGTGACATGGTTATAATAGCGGAGTCAAACGAAGTCTGTTTTATAGACGCACACACAATTACATATACATTGTAAATACACAGTTACACTGTAAATAAAGTGTAGTGAACAGGTCGTAGTCGAGTTACTCGATTCGAACTCGTCGAGAACTTTGCCTCGCGTAATCGCACGAACATCGCTAACTTTTTGACAGCGAGATGCAAAAACGCACATTCTCGATCGCTCGTACGGGTTCCCTTCTTAGGATTATGTGGTTTTATGTTTATGTGCGTGATGTGCGACAAAATTAACGATCGACTGACAAGCGCCGACCGTCGCGAAAGTCGAGAAACGATGATAGGGTGGACAATGTCACTTCGCGAGTACATGCGAAGGACAAAAACTACTCCAATGCACTCGAGACTCTCGATAGCCAGGTGTATACACTCTCTACTCACCACGTGATCACCGCGATAAAAATTTTACGTCAGACAGACAGTATTCGCGAAATACACGTATTTATGCACGTCGCGCGAGCGACAATAAATAAAACATTTCGCGATTTGCCTCACGATTAGAAAACGTATCGAGAAGTGAAAGTAACATACGACTGGAATAATCTATTGATGAGAACGCGCGGCGCACGGGGAAGACGAGTCTCCCGTGAAACTTTGTTGCCTGTCCGCATTATCTTCCGCATTCTACGGTCGCCGATGAGAATCACGTCACATGAAGCGATTCTCTAATGAGATTCCTGGAACGGTGATTGATAGATGGACTCATAATCGAAAATATCATTTCGCGGGGGTACAACGTCTCATGAATGTCGCGTCTCCGCGACTATAATACGACTATAATACAGAAGGGACAACTCTTTCTCCTCTCCCTCTCCCTTCCCGTCGGCACGTGAAGGGGCAATTTGATAAAAAAATATTCATCTTTAGAAGAAAGTTGTTGTGCCGAAGGGAAGCAACTACAGACGTTTCAAAGTCCGGAGAGAGAGAGAGAGAGAGAGAGAGAGAGAGAGAGAGAGGGAGAGAGAGAGAGAGAGATATTATAGACATTCCGAGCTTGTGATGTCGCCTCATGAGGTATTCCTATACATTCTCGCTTAATAAATATATTTGAAATGTACTTCACGTTTCTCCGTCTTTATCTATTATTGATGACGATGTTGCCCTCATATAAGTTACGGGATGGCGAGTGAATACGCGAAAATTATACACCGCGAGACAATCGCCGATCCAAACCCGCCGATCCAAGCCCGGACAACTTCGAGACTACTCGTCTCCCGAAGTTCACCATCTGTCGATCGAACCTGAGTTGTCCGAACTGTTGACACCTTCCTCATGCGGTTTGCGTGCGCGATAAAGATCTCGTTACGTCGATCAGTTCGTCGGCATTAAACGGTCTGGTCAGGTCGATGAGAGAAATCTATCAGCGAGTCAGACGCTGCGCGAACGGTGCCGGAAAAATGTTATGCTCTCCGACGATATTGCGTTAATCGTCACGTAACAACGAAGAGACACGCTCTTTCCTTTCTTCGAAGATAATTGAGAAAAAAAAGGAAAAAAGGAAAGAAGAAAATAAAAGAAAACGCCCCGCGATATTTCCTCCGTCCCGTTTTTCGATCTCGTTCAATCCCGCTGTAATATCGCGCCTCCTCTAATACCCGTAGTCGCTTTTCTTTGCTTGTTATTTTTCTCTTTAAGCGTGCGTCATATGGTGCGTATAAAATAAAGAAATATCAACAGCGACCGTACGAAGGGAAAAGCAGCGAGCGTACGGAGATGCACGTGCTGGAATTTACACTGACTGTGCTGACGGTCGCCGGTGTCTGGCGGCCGCGCTCGTGGAAGTCGTCACAGACGAAACAAATGTTATACGACGCCTACACGGTCGTCCTGAGCGTACTGATCCTCATGTTCACCATGTCCCAATTTATGGAACTGCTGCTTAACACCAGCAACGCTGACGAATTGACGGAGATACTGTACATGGTACTGATCGGAGTCGTCGGATAAAATAATCTAAAAATCGTCACGATAAGTATAAATCACCAGACTTTCACGGCTATGGTCGACAATCTGACCGTGGAGCCGTTCAAGCCGATAGGAAAGAACGAGACGATCATTCGAAGAAGATTTGACAAGATGATCACGTGAGTATGATCTTCATTACGACGACCTTCGTGTGTGTGTGTGTGTGTGTCTGTCTTTTTATTCTCCTCTTATCTTTTCGACGAATGTAATCTTTTGATAAATATGAGAACGATGTATGAGAACGGTGTAGACGTACACATGAATGACTGTCGTACACTTCAATATGTATGATATGATGAAAAGTTTAGTCGCAAAAGTTTGTATGGAAAAAAGAAAAAGAAAAAGAAAAAGAGAAACGCACAAGAAGAAGGTAAGAGAATCGCAATCTTTGTAGGAATATTACATTTCGGTACTTGATGCTCATCGTGACAACAGCTATCTACATCACTCTGCTGTCGTTGTTCACGGACTTCAGAAGACGGGATTTAACGTATAAAGCTTGGTTCCCGTTCGATTACTCGGTCTCCGCGATATACTACTTCCTGTACGTTCATCAAATGTTCAGCATGCTGTTTACCAGTTTCTTGAACGTCGCCTGCGACAGCCTCTTTTCCGGCCTGCTGTTGCATCTTTCTTGCCAAATCGACATCTTGGATTATCGATTGTCGAAGATCGCGAACAATGAAAATATGCTACGCAAATGCGTCTTTCATCACAATCGTATATTCGAGTAAGTTTTCGCGCTAGACGCGTTCGTATTATTCAAAGTATTACTCGACGAAAAACCAACGAACATTAAAAACTCTGTACTCTGCCAGATCCAAATGTGTTAGCTTTTACATTGCGTATAATCTGATTGGAGATCTTTTTATATGTCTTTTGCCGATTTTAAATCACGTCATTTAATATGTTGCAAATGTGTGCAATTGTGCAAGAATGCATTTAATATGTCCGAATGTCTCGAATGATGTGATTTAAAACGGCAGGAAGAAAGGGGGAGCGTGCGGAGAGGGGGGGGGAGAGAGAGAGAGAGAGAGGGAGAGAGAGAGAGAGAGAGAGAGAGAGAGAGAGAGAGAGAGAGAAAGAGAGAGAGCGAAGAAAAGAAATAATAAAGGAGGGAGTGAAAATTGTACTTTTCACATATCATGTCGCAGATTCGCTACCACGCTAAATGAAAAATTGGCCGTTGTCATCGGCAGCCAGTTCATAGGAATCTGCTTGGTGGTGTGCTGCCTGCTGTTTCGCTTGGCAGTGTCGTCATCCAGCGTCATGTACATTCAGACTCTCATGTGTCTGTCTTGCGCGTTATTAGCAATGTTCTATTACTGTTGGTTTGCGAACGAGGTCAAGCTGAGGGTAATTTCTTTAAGGGCGCTGGCAACACGCACGCGCGCGAAAATTTAGCGGGTGCGAGAGATTTGTGCACTTCATCGTAACTTTCTATCTGCGTAGAGTCTGGAATTTTCGGACAATATCTACAAAATGGAGTGGCCGGACCTCAACAACAACGTGAGGAAGTGCATCGTGATAATTATGAGCCGTGCGATGTCGTCGCCCATCAAATTCACTAGCGCGCGTATCGTTCCCCTGAACCTCGAGTCTTTCGTGATGGTTGGTATTGTATAATCGAAATGTATAATGTTGCAACAATGTTAACGCTCGATGTGTCTCGATGACATTCAGAATCGACAGTCCGATCTCCAACAGCAGAAGGCTTTCTTATTCGACACAAATCGACAATCAACAAATTCTTATCAAGATACTTGTCTGGAAGACAAATTCTCCTGTTGGATACGGACGTGTTGCGAACACACTCGTTGAGACTACATAGTGTTGCAACTTCCCTACTGTCACATTGACTGGCGCATCTACAGGCGATTGTTGCAGGTGCTCAAAACCTCGTACACGGTTTTCAACTTGATGCGGCAGATGTAAGACCCGGACACGATGTACCCTAACCCAGAACGGAATCTTCGGTTTGAAAGACAACGGTTAAACGGTCGCTGTCGAAATCGTTGCGAATTTCGTTGCGCCGCTTCCGCGAAACTCGACGTCTCAAGATCTCCGCCCAGGATAAGGTGATAATAAAATAAATTTACAATATGAATGGAAAAGTGTGCTGACACTAAACTGAAACCGTCCTTCGTAGAGACAGTGAGTTATAGAGATGTAATTTATAGAGCTCCGTAAATAAAATCACTCGGCAAACATCTCCGATTCTCCGATCGTCACTTTCGTATCTTGCGTTGAATTGTTTCACTGGAGTCGTTTCACGCGACTCTCCAAATCGTGGCGACTCGATATTCGTCTAGATTCGTGTTGCCTTTGATCGTAAGCGAACGCGCTATCGCCATATATCACGTTCAAAATCGCGACATAGAGGTAAGCTATAGCTGAAACGATTCGTTATGCGGAGAATTTGCGAAGCGCTCGCTTCGCGAAAGCTGCGATCGATAAAAATACAATACATTGCGAGAGACGTACAATAATGAAGGATACACCGAAGTATCGTCGAAGTAATCGAGAACGTCTAATGATCTGACGACGACGTTCTCGCACAAAGTATTATCTTCATAAATCAATCTCACGAACCATCCCTTAATGATAGAGCGATGCACCGTTATTTTGATGAAGACGACCGCGACGGTCGAAGGGAAGGAAAACGGATACACGGAAAAATAAATTCGACCTCTCTCTCTCTCTCTCTCTCGACCGCTCGCGGTGAATCGTTAGTCGTCGTGCGTCTTTCCCTCTCATTCGCGAGTCTGTTGTAGCTGCTGTTTCCAGTGATCGCAACTTTGCAAAGTGAACGTTGCATAAGTTATTATATAGTCGAATCATTAGTTGTAGTTTACTTCGGTGAATCTTTAATAGCCTTTGGCCTCTATTACGGCCTCTATTACGGTAATGGCAGAGACAGGTGTACAGGAGGGATGCGAAGGCACTTCGTCGAAAGAAGATAGCGGGTCGCGAGATAACGTATAAATATTCGGAGATTGTCTCGCCCGTTCTCCTCTATATAGCTGACTTATACTTGGTCCCGGCCTTCGGACATCGAGACTTGGCTAGAGCCGTTTACACGTAGTCGTCGGATAAGTCGCCCAAGTATGATTTCCGATGGATAAAAATTTCTGAAAATTTCTCTACGTTACATTCGCGCGACATTCGCAGTGTGATATTACCGGCAATTTGCCGGAATTAGACGAAATTACTGATAAGCTGATAAGTGTGCCGGAATGCGCGTGCTAAAGTTTACGCTCGTGATCTGCGCGCTCGCCGGATGCTGGCAACCGTCATCGTGGACGTCGTTGTGCAAGCGTGTCGTTTACAAGATCTACGCGATATTTTTGCTCTCCTCGTTATACATATTCTCGGTGTCTCAGTTCATGAATATCATACTGAACGTCGAGAATTCCGACGAATTCACCGACGCCCTGTACATGATGCTGACCGTGCTGGTCGCGGCCTACAAGCAAACTTTCATGCTGCTGGACCGCGGAAACATCACGATGATAATTGACCAGCTCACCGTGAGACCCTTCGCACCGTGTGAGTCGCACGAGGTGACGATTCGGCGGAAATTCGACAAAATGATACAGTAAGTTGTGACATACATTACGTTAGCGTACTGCACATTTTAGAGTCTTTGTCCGCGCGCGGACAAACGGGCACCTCATTGCTCTCTATTAACGAGGATCGGAAGGAGAATTTTTCCTTTATCAATATCAAGAAATATTACATTGGCGAGCAAAGCATCGTATAGAGCGGAAACAAGTCTGATCGGGCAAGAGAGTCCGCTGAAAACCGTCCGCAGACGTCCGTCAAGACGATGAGGGGGTAGAGCTCTACTTTGGCAAGCGGAGCAAACGATCTCTTGAGGATTGAAGCAGACTGAAGGCGGGCCGATTAGCTAGCAGCTAGATCTTACGTTTGAGATTATTTCGGGTTCATCTCAAGATGCTGCAAAGGTCGTTTCATTGACTACGCATCATCGTCGTAAGATGATCTCGAAGAGCAAGAGTAGACTATGAGCATTTATTATGCATTCGTTGTGCTTTAGTTAGGTGGCTTCGCGATGGGTCTTTCGACAGGATGTGTGGGCCTGATTTCAAGAACTTGACAACAATAAAATCCACGTCGTCATTTTGCAGGAGCAACGTGTTGCGCTACTTGATTCTCGTGACAATGTCGATCACGTCGATACTCATGACGTCCTTTTTCACGGAGCTGACGAAGAGAAACCTGACGTACAAAGCGTGGGTGCCGTTCGACTATTCGTCATCCAACGTCGTGTTCCTTCTCGTGTACACCCACCAATTGATAGGCATGTCGACCTCCGGTATAGTAAACGTCGCTTGCGAGAGCTTAATTTGCGGATTCCTGTTGCACATCTGCTGCCAACTTGAGATTTTAGAGTATCGATTGACGAAAATTTCGCGGGACCATGACGTCCTGGGCGACTGTGTTTATCATCACAACCGCATATTTACGTTAGTTCAACAAACAAACAGTTAGCTCGTTAGTTGCGAAAGCTCTAAAGCGCCTAGAAAACGCAATTCACTCCGTGAGATCTCATCGTTGTGACTCGAAACAACACGAATCCAACGGTCTCATTTCCTTTCTCTCTCCCTCTGTCTCTCTCTCTCTCTCTCTCTCTCTCTCTCTCTCTCTCTCTCTCTCTCTCTCCCTCTCTCTCTCTCTCTCTCTCTCTCTCTCTCCTTTTCTTTCTTTTTGTCTTTTTCCTCTTCTTCCCTTTTTAGCGTCGAGAAAGGCATCCGCTCCTCCACGGGACGAGCTCGGAGGGACCACTGAGAGTTTTCTGTCTAATCGCAGATATGCGTACGAGGTGAATAACATGTTCGCCAAGATAATCGCCATACAGTTTGCGGTGAGCATGCTGGTGGTGTGCTCGAATCTGTATCGGATAGCCATGGCGGAGGACTACATGAGCATCGTCCCGTTGATGTTTTACACGAGCGCGATATTGGCGCAGATCTTCATCTACTGTTGGTTCGGGAACGAAGTCAAGTTGAAAGTACATATCCCGCTGTTTCACTCGCGCACGCGGAAGAGTGTATCTCCTCCCCCCTCCCCCCACCCCCGATGATATCAACATTCTGTCTCACGTGTTTATTTATTATAGAGCCTGCACGTGATGAACAGTATCTACGAGATGGCGTGGCCGGCGCTTAGCAACGACAATCAGAAAGCCCTGCTGTTGGTAATGAAGCGCACGATGGTCCCGGTCGAGTTCAGTAGCGCATACATAATCACGATGAATCTTGACTCGTTTGTGGCTGTCGGTATAATTTAATTGAAACGACTTGAAATAATCATTGTCATCGCCCGCCGTCGTTGCGAATTACTTTCAACTCGTGTCCTCGTGTTCTCTCTTTTGCAGTTGCTGAAAATGTCGTACTCGATTTTTAATCTGCTGCGACAAACGCACGAACAGTAAGCTCAACACGTTGCGCTGTGTGTCACGTGCAACCTATACATATATTAAAGTATAGCAAGAAAAACAAAAATATTTTAATATCGACCAGGCGATTGCAAAAAGTTCGTAAAATCCCTGTCGGGGGCATTTGCTCGGGGTCATCCGAAGACTGAAGAAGCAGCACACATGAAAAGGTCTGAGTATTTTCCTGGAGAAACCAAAATTGTAAGATATAGAGCGTAATCGACATTCGTACGTCGAGAAATTTACATACTAGCGTTTGAGGTACTACAATAAATAATGTAAGGTTGCAAGGTTGCTTCTTTTATGCTTGTTCCATTCTCCATCATTTTTCTGTTATGTCAACGCGAATGATGTGATTTGCGTGTTAATAATTAATCAAGTCGTCGACTTTCAGATGAGCAATACATTCGCAAAAATAATCGCTATTCAACTCGCGGTGAACATGCTGTGGTGGTGGTGGTGGTGGTCTGCTCAAATCTGTATCGAACAGCTATGGCGGACAGCTATGTGGATTTTATTTCATTAATATTGTATACAAGCTGCACATGTTGGCACAGATCTTCGTTATCATCATCAAATCTTGAAACGGAAATCTGGAAACGAAGTTAAACTGGATAGTACATCATACCGCATTACAAACAACAAGAGGCACATTTGGTTGAGAAAAAGATGAGAAAAAAATAAAAGAAAAAACAGAATCATGAAGACCACGATGTTTCTGTCTGTAATATTTTCAATATTTCGTTACGTTTGTGTTTTGTAGAGTTTTTATCAGACCGATAGCGTTTACAGTATCGAGTGGCCCCGCGCTTAACAGCACGAACAAAGGATCATTCGTAATAATCGTGAAACGCTCGACGACTCACATTGAGTTTAGCGGTGCATACATTGTCGCATTGACTGTCTGGAATTATTTGTATCCGTCAACACCACAACCGGATGATATATAGCGAAAATTATCCTTGCAAATCTAACGAACTGATAACGTTTCACATGTGCCCGCAATGTTTTTACAATCGTTCGAGATATCGTATGAGGTAGTAGTAAAGAAAAGTAAAGAAAGTCACATTAGAGCATAGAGTAACAAGGTAGGATCGTAGCAGAGATCGTATTTCGCTATAAAATCTCTTTCTTCGTTCTTCCTCCTGTTCTTCCTCCTCTTTATGCTAAAAATTCCCGTCACTTCGATTTTTGATTTTGAGCAACGACCCGGTATACATCTTTCGCAGGTGCATGACAATTTTCGTTTGATATATTATTTTGCTGCACCTACTTTTAACAAAGTATTCGTACAAGTGAATACGTCACGTGTTTTCGTTCGCTATTCGGAAATTTTCTTCACGTTGGAAGACAACGCACTGTCAGACAAGCGCACGCATACACAAACATACACACAGATATTACATTCAGACAAATACTGAGCCTCCACATAAGGAGAAGAAGAAAACGCTAAATTAACGCTAATAATATGTATGTAGTGAGCATCAAGGTGAGCATCGTAGTGATTCCGCTTGTCCCGTCGTTTTGATAATATCATCAACGGGCGGGTGGCGGTTGGGAAAGAGGAGGGAATAATGTAATGGTGTAATGCTATTTATATTTATAATGATTTGATTTCTCCCCGATTATACATACTGTCGAGTCTCACTTTCCGCATAACCGTGAGATTGTTTTATGCAACCAGAGCTGGCTCTGATTCGGTTTTCCTCGTGTATGTATCTCGACCTTTTCGCGGGAATAATTATACAGGGTGCACGATTTATCTGAAGACATTGAAATATCTCGAGAACTGTGCATTGGATAAAAAAAGTGGTTAATGAAAGTTGTTAGTCTCGAAGGGGGACATCCAATGATACCAAACTCGACCTCCCACCCCACCCCCTGGGGGTGGGGGTTGGGGGCAACTTTGAAATCTTAAATGGAAACCCCCATTTTTTATTGCAGATACGAATTCTACGCCACAAAGTACGTAAATTTTGTCCGAAACTTTTTTTTTTATTCGTGATAGATGGCGCTGTAATCGCAAAAAATTATATTTTCCGCAATTCTCCAGAAATGATCATTGGATTGAGAAATAAAAGATACCTGTTCAATATTTTTAAAGAACACAATAAAAGTTATTCCCCCCCATCCTCTCGGGGTAGGGTGGGTGGTAACGTCCAAATCTCAAATGGGAACCCGAATCGAAGAGGGAACTGCTCGACGCGCCACTGTGGGTGTATGGCGAACTATGGCTTATTATAAAAGGCAGTGCAATGCTATCTATCATGAATGAAAAAAATTGTTTCAATAAAAAGTTCACGTACAATCTAATTCTGCAATGAAAAATGTGGGTCCCCATTTGAGATTTGAACGTTATCACCCACCCTACCCCGAGAGGATGGGGGGGGGAATAACTTTTATCATGTTCTTTAAAAATATTGAACAGGTATTTTTTATTTCTCAATCCAATGATCATTTCTGGAGAATTGCGGAAAATATAATTTTTTGCGATTACAGCGCCATCTATCATGAATAAAAAAAAAAGTTTCGGACAAAATTTACGTATTTTGTGGCGTAGAATGCATATCTGCAATAAAAAATGGGGGTTTCCATTTAAGATTTCAAAGTTGCCCCCAACCCCCACCCCCAGGGGGTGGGGTGGGAGGTCGAGTTTGGTATCATTGGATGTCCCCCTTCGAGACTAACAACTTTCATTAGCCACTTTTTTTTATCCAATGCATAGTTCTCGAGATATTTCAATGTCTTCAGATAAATCCTGCACCCTGTATATATAAAATGGTCCTTCCAGCTCTCTTGCAGTTATATAGTAATAATAACCAGATTATCATCTCCATGAAAGTAATAATTACGGAAGTGAGAAGTGCTGCGTGTGTTTGCGTGTGATTAATTTACACTTATTTATAATAATCGTAAGAACTTCGTCTTTCTCTCTTCTCTCTTTGCCGACTGCGGCGGATTATTCGCGGAAGTCGAGACGCGCGCTTAAGCGCACGATCGTTCCGTACTTGACTTTCCTCGTATGTACAAAATAGTCGACTAATCGCGGCGAGCTGACGGAAGACATTGCGACGGCATTGCGACAAGAAACGGAAACTTACTTCCGTTACCGTACACGGCCGTCATCGTTCCGCCGGACTCGACCTGTAGATCTGCCCACTGTTGAGCGGCTTGTTTGTGTAAACGGCATTGGTTCTGACCTGCCTGTACTGTGCCTGTGGTCGCTTTTGTCGCGTGCTCCAATGCACGTAACTGTACCATCCGGCCACCAAGGCGCTCAATCCATTGCAAACGGACGAGAAGATGAGGAGGATCGTCAAAATACCTTGCACATCTGGACAGTTAAGATCCACGTATCTGGTGCAACGTACGTGCAAGGATTATTATCAAAGTACTGTCATCGTAGAACGATCAATTTAATATCACTCAATTTACTAATTGCATTACTATTCTATTACTATCTGTCGCGATAACGCGCGCGCGGCCGCGATATCGAGGCTGAGCGATAAAGAACTCTGACATTCGGCCGACAGCCGAATTCGCGTGGAATTTTGGCAAGAAACTTGTGATCATGCGTCATGTCACGGGGTGTTTTGCAACAGTGATATTTTTTTCAGGCAGCCTGCAGCGAGATGTAGCCAGCCGTAGAACTGATGAAAAATGATGCGTTTGTGATTTCACGACATTACCTGACTGCACCTTCGATGAATTCGAATGAATCAGGCGGTGCGCCGCGTGGCCTGCACACGCACGTGGCATTCAGAAGCCGTGCCGGGGTGCATTCCAGCTCCATCAGACGCGACAAGTGCATCGTGGAGGACACGCACGCGGTTATGCACGCAACGGTCGCCAGGACTGCCAAAAACACGCTGATTGCCTGTCCGACGAAACGTCGTGAGGTGAGAAGAGGTGTGATATGAGTCTCGTCATAAATAAAATAAGGCATATATATAAATTGTGTTTGATTTTATGAGACGTGAAATCGAACGATCGATCTCGAGCGGGATCGAGATAACATACGATACATATGCAGTAAGTACAATAGATATACAATAACACGTAGCGTCGAGCCAAAAGAAGCGGTGTTCAAGAGAACAGCGGTGTCGGAAACAAGTGAGTCAAATTCGAAGTGTCAAAGTGGTGTCAAAGTGTTCACGCGAGCAAGTGGAGCAAGCTCTGAGTGAGAATGCCGCTGCCTTTGAAGATTATGACGCGACGGGAATAGATTCATATAGAATGGTGGTCATATTACCTTGGTGGTGGAAAGACAGATCCCAGGTCTCATACTCGGATATTCCTTCTTGAAGCAACATAGAAGACTGATTCCAAAGCTGCCCGACAGCAGAAGCTGGAGAGGTATCCAAGATAAGATTGTTGATTTTCGAATAGATATAAATATCATACTAGAAAAAGATATCCATACGACGCATATGACTTGTGCGCTGGTAAAATGCGCTTCTTCTTTCGGAAAGTAGATGGTACAATAAGTATTATATATATAAACATTTCTTGACTTGAAATTTCAAATTCGGAAGAGCTGGCGGGAAAATTCGGATTCGATTGTCAGTATATACACGATAGACGTTAGCTTGTTGGATGAATGTTATATCCAACAAATGGCGATATAATAAATTTCGAGAGCAAATCGAGAGAGGGGGGGAGGGAGAGAGAGAGAGAGAGAGAGAGAGAGAGAGAGAGAGAGAGAGAGAGAGAGAGAACTTACGAGTAGATGATATATATAAAAAGAAATGTGGTGATATGTCTCTCTTTCTCAAAAGAAAGATTATCACACACCACGTGATGTACACTAGCGTATATTAATCATCTACTGCAATGAAAGGCAGTTGTTAGATGAGCGAAAAATACCGCTTTGATTCTCCTCGCGTCGTCATCGTCATCGTCGAAAGTGAACAAGCGAATAACAATCGCCGCTGGAGGATGGAACCGCGAGATACTTACAGGTATGCCGCTCCAATACGGATTGTTGATGACGGGAAGACTGGGTGTCCACAGTAGCAGCCACAACGACAGGACAATCACCGCGATACCGAGGATGGTTTGCAACGTGGCCAGGCATCGCGCCGTTCGTCGATAATAGACCAAAGGAGGCAGAAATTTCTCCGGGCCTGGAGACGCAAAGGTGTCTTGTCAATCCCTTGTCAATTCTCTAGCCTTGTCGCGTTATTCTGTCATTGTTGTTATCCTGTAGCATGTTGTTGTTCTTTTATCGTTAGGATTCGCGTGTGTGACTGAACTGAACTGTCCTGTGTATCGCGTTGGTACACAGTGAAAGTGAATCGCTCGTGAGTGAATCGCTCGAAAGTGAATTCTCTTATATTGTCGATTCCGTAGCCTCCTCTCCTCTAAGTCATCGTGGACATCATTATCTGAACGGAGAGAGGAGAGAGAGAGAGAGAGAGAGGGGGGAGAGAGGGGGAGGGGGAGGGGGAGAGAGAGAGAGAGAGAGGGAGGGAGAGGGAGAGAGAGAGAGGGAGAGAGAGAGAGAGAGGGGGGGGGAGAGAGGGAGAGAGAGAGATCGGTCACATTTGGCAAGCACGCAACAGTAACCTTCCTCATTACGTCACACAGTCGTGAACGACTCAAACGCACGAGGATCGCTTTTGAGATTTGAAGAGTCCGATCTCCGATCTCCGTGCGATCATGCAATTGCTCATTAGATGAGTCAACGACTACTCAACGAAGGTAGCCTTCTCATTCTCTCGTGGCATTCTCATCCTTCGGCGTGACATACATTTCCTTGCGGCACGGGCGTACACTTCCCCCCGGGCCATCGACTACGCCGCGGCCGTGAGGCTTGTGCGGCAGGCCCAAAGGAAAGGAGAGTTTCCGAGCAGAGCACGCGGCTCTGTCCCTCCTTACAAGGTATCCTAACTGGATATCGGATCGAACGTAATCGTGCTTGCCGTATCGAACTCGTCGTCAGGAAACCCGCCCCCACCACCGCCTTGTCTGCATACGATTCGCGACTCGCGACGAAGATTGTTTGTCCACGTTCGGAGAGTATCGTGTGCGAAAACCCGAGCGACCGCCTGTGACAACTGTGACATTTCCTGACGATAATGTGTCAATTGTAAATTGACATCTCTCAATCACGTCATATTCCACATACTCAAGCGATTCGTTTGAGATCGCGAAAGATGAATATTATCTGTCCCGGCGAGATGCATGTGCTTTGTAACGCAGTCGGGTAAAGTCGGCAAAAGCGAAAATATTTCTGAAGAATGTCTATACACAGTGCTCTAGTTTTTGTTAGTCTTTTGCCTTTCAACGAACAACCTTCGTCAACGTCGCGTCGTCACGGTCGTGAAATCTGAAAGAGCTGTACGTACGTAGTTCCGTGTATTATATTATTATTATTATTATTATTATATTACATCGTCTCTTGCAAGGGACCGGCGATTGCGACTGTATTTTTTGTCAAGCAAAGGAGAAATTCAATGTCGTCGTATTTCATGCATTTTCAGGAATTTCCGATATCTCGTGGCTGTCGCAACGTGCCGAAAAGTACCGTACGCGGTGTCGGAAGTGTCGGAAGCAAAAGCACAATTTTCCGAGACGGTATCACGGATGCACCTGTGCCTGCCTGCCTGCCTGCCTGTCTGTCTGCCTGCCTGCCTGCCTGCTTGCATGCCTACCGCGCGCGAGGATCGAATCTCGGACGAGCTCTAACTGTACTGCGCGTGTAGACACGCGCTGCGTAACTGCGTAACCGACGAACAAGCCAAGGTGCAACGACGTAACGTAAATAGCCATATAACATGGAAACAGTCACCACTGTGACTGTGACTGAGCGAAAATAAAAGTATGTATGTATGCATGTAAACCAGTCTCCTCTATTGGTTGTTTCGCGACAAGGTGAAAAATTCGACATCTTCTTTCCTTCTTACGAGGTGATACTACTAAGATGGATAAAAAACGAATCCTATAAACGTGTGAAAACACGTGTGATATTTCTGATCGACTTTCATGTAGATTGATTCAACGACGAAATCGAGGATTCAAACTCAACACTTAACAATATGCCAGACTTTCGAACACAATCTACTTTCGCTCGACGTCGGCGGTTGAATGCGCAACGTCTGCAAAACGTGATGTTAAATACATAAAAATGAGTAATCGTAAAATTATCATCATGTATTTAAGCGATAAAAATATCGAAGAAGAAAATTGACGCGTTCCATGTCGTCAGTTCGCAATCGACCGCGCTAATCGAGGAACTCGAGGTGAGTGCATAAATAAAACATCAACCGAGCAGACGTTGAATGCGCTTGCGCGTGCGCGCGTACGCGCGAGGGAAGACGAAATAAAGACGGGATAAAAATTCGAAACTGAAGACTGTATTTCGCGTGTATACGTGTGAGTGTGTAGAGTGTAGAGACGCAGCGCGCCGGCGACGAAGCGCGCGCGCACCCACGTGATCTATCAAACAACGCGTATCACGAGTATGCACTGTAGTGCATATCGGTAGGACAATGGCCTCGCTCACTCGCTCACGTGGATAAACGAAATGGAATACGCATATGTTACAATCGAGATAACAAAATTCGAGCAGCGAGTCCAGGTCCTCGCTGTCGTCCCGTACATATTCGCCGTGTCGTCCCGTCGTCGTGTACACGCCCGGCGAGTTTGCCGTGAAATATACGGCCCACGTATGCACGTATGCGGCACTGTACGGTAACGTACGGTAACGTAGTGGTAACTGAGTGGTACATTTTCATTATCCGCCTGGCCTCATTACATAGACAATACCAATGATGCAAGGCCCGCGGCTTGCGTAAGAAGAAACGACCGCGACCGCGTGATTGGGTAATTGCATCGTGCCGATCGTCACCGATAGACGAACGCTCGTTAGACACGTCCGATTTGTCCGATTTACATATTCAGCTTATACGGATGATTTCTCTGCGCCGGCCTTCGGGCCTACGGAGCGCCAAATGCGGCGAATCCGTGGGCATCAAGTAAAAGTTGGTGCTACGAAGCAGGTTAATGATCCTGATTTCATTGCATCTTAATCGAGTCACTTATATACACGGTGATTGAAATCGTCCTGAGAGAATTATCATGAGACTTTCCGTGAGTTATTACGGATCGAATTGGGCTGGTTTCTCTTTGTTGGCTATCCTTCTCTTTGGCAGCGGTAGACAGGACTCCGTCGAGACATTGTTCAACATTGTCTTCACATTGGAATAGTCGCGTGCCACCAATTCCCAATTTCGATCGTTCCGACTGAAGAAAGAGAAGAAAGTTTCTCTCACTTCGGAGGATCGATCGAGGACACTCCTGTCTGCCGTTGTTTACACGGATAATAAGAATCAGCCTTTAATCGTCTTCAACGCGACGAGATGAGTAGCGCGATCGTCTGACAGCTCTCGACATCCGTCCGAGAGAGAACGGAGAGACCAAATCAGGCAGATCTACCGAATTTACCGTCTATAAAGACGCCGAAAATTGGCCGTGTAGCGAATAGCGAGCCGACGTGTACATCTGTACATTTGTACCGCCGCTACCTCTAAACGGAAATAGATGCAAGACCGGTGCCGACCGGGACGGCCCTTGAGCAGAATGGGACGGAATCACGGTGCTCGGCACGCGGGCTCGTCGTCAATTTCGACCCTCCGTTCGCACGTGTCTCCCTTTTGTAAGAGATACAGAAACCCAGACCCATGTTATTCGTGTACGTAACGTGCACGTGTTCGAGCTAATTCGAGACACGAATTATATTATTCTTGTCTCGATCAACCACGGATGAACGGAGAAATGGACGAGAAAAGGAAAGGGTCGATCGCTATCGATCACGACGTTCTTTGACGAGTCTTATTCAGCTTCTGCAAGGCGTGTCGAGCTCTCGAGTGCACGTACAAAAAGATCACACGATATATTTCCGGCCCGGTACTTCCGCCATCCGCCAGAGAGAGAGAGAGAGAGAGAGAGAGAGAGAGAGAGAGAGAGAGAGAGAGAGAGAGAGAGAGAGAGAGAGAGAGAGAGAGAGAGAGAGAGAGAGAGAGAGAGAGGGAGAGAGAGAGAGAGAGAGAGAGAGAGAGGGAGAGAGAGAGAGAGAGAGAACCATGTGCATCCAGTTTAAAGTGTACATACGGTGGCCAGCGGAGCAAGAAACGAACGTTTAAAATCCAGAGCGAGACGTGGTACGTCGGAACGCGAGAGGATAGATATAACTCGACAAGAAAACGTGCAGGTTTCTTTCCGCCGCCGCGGAGGAGTCGAGCGAGAAACGGATATGTCCGTTTTGAATAAGATGCCCTATCCTTACATTGACCTAGCCTTTCCGGATTTTGATTTTATTATGTATACAAATTATCACGGACAATTCACACGGTACACACACGCGCACACTTATGGAGAGGAAAGTTGTCCGTAATTTTTGTGAGTGAGTTTCGTCCGCAATTCAGCGGGACAATTTGCTCCCCAATAGGAGCAGATTCCTTTTATTATTACAGGCGCAACACGACTGTATACGACGCGTAGTCAAATGACGAGAGGATAATACTCGAAAAGATAATACGGGAATTTCTTTGCCTTGCGAGACGAAATGAGTGAGACCGTGCGGTGAAATGTAACTCTTACACCAATACTTTTTTTCCCGGACACGTCAGCTCTCTCGCTCGAATTATTACGGATAATATGGATTAAACACGAGCGTTAAACGCTCCATCTCAATTCTCAACGCTCCCCCTGCAACTCTCTTTCAAAGTACGTGCGAGCGCGTTGCACTCTCGACCACCTCTATCGCCGGCGCGGCACCCTCCCATTAGCCGCCATTTCCCATGCTCGCGTGCGCGCGCGCAAGTTTTGCGCTATCTAATTACCGCGATGATAAAGAACCGCTGCACTCTCCTGCGTCACAGGGCCAGCGGCCCTGCGCCGCCAATTATAATCTTCCTGTCTGCCTTGGCAGCAACCTCGATCCTGCCGGCTAGCCGGCTAGCCGGTTGGAGTGCATTAAAAGTGACAGTCTTGCGCGCGCTCGTTAGCGCGCGCGGCATTACGCGGCGAGAACGGCGGTCGTTGTAACGCTGTTGCGCTGTTGCGCATCAGCGCGCGATGCCGATTATCGAAAGAAATTGAGAAAATTGAGCTGGGCCGTACCACCGGGCCGGTCGCATTCCGCGGCGAGAACGGCAATTCCCTTCTCCTTTTCCAACCGCGCGCTTCGCGCGAGTGAATGCGATCACCTTTGGAAGAAATCGATCGCGAATCACCGATCGCAAAAAGCGGATAATTATAAGCATTTCGCCGAGGCGAACGAGGCGAGCGATGGGAGGAGAAAAAAAAATCTGATTGTGGTGCGTTCCTCACTTGCGACGCGTACGTACACCCACGGACTCTCTCTCTCTCTCTCTCTCTCTCTCTCTCTACACGCTCCCGACACGCTCGCCTAGTTACCTTAAGTATTCGCCATTTTTTTACCATCCTAAATACGTATTCCCTTCTCGCTCTTGCTCCTCCTTCTCCTCCTCCTCCTCCTTCTCCTCCTCCTCCTCCTCCTCCTCCTCCTCCTCATCCTCCTCCTCCTCCTCCTCTTCTCTTCACACACACGTACATTGTGATGACGAGCGAAAGAATCCTTGTATTTTGCTAATTGAGAACCGACAAAGAAGTCGCTCGCGGTCGCGAACGCGTGACTTTCGCAACCCTCGTTGCACAACGCTCGGAATGCGAAAATTACACGAAAATTAATCGAGGTGTGCTACGCGATTGTGTGCTATCGTATGCGAACGTGGGGATATTTAAAGATCATGCAACAGATATTGTGTGCGCGCGATAAAAGGGGAAAGTATAAAATACTGGAAAATTAGAGACGGATTGTTCGCATAATGCCGTAAACGCCGTTTGCAATATGGTCACAAGCGCACATTGATGAGAGAGAGCGAGAGAGAGAGAGAGAGAGAGAGAGAGAGAGAGAGGAGAGAGAGAGAGAGGGAGGGGACGAGTGAGGGACAGTGAGAGCCCGGATGGATAAACCGGTGTCCACTTACGGTGACCGGTTCGGTGCATCACGATCATCCTGCTGTGTCTCAGAGAATTCCTCGTAGGCGTATGTCTGCCGGCTATTTGCGAAGCAGTCAGATTGACGGGGACCGTGGTCGACAAGCAGTTGGCCATCGACGGCGCCCGCTCCAGCTCCTTTTCTTTGTCGCCACGGCAGATCCGGCCGATGTTCCCGGTAGAGACCGCACCTGTCGAAGCGCAATTCGTGACGACGCTTTTGTGAGAATTCAATCGCTCTTCCGCGACGACCCGACTACGTCGGGTTGTTATCTCATTTTTCTCGTCGTAAACCTTCACGTACTTTATTGTGTAGCTTAATATATATTATATCTTAATTTATTATATTTTCCTTTTGTATCGTATCCTAGCGTAACACACACACACACACACACATGCGCGCGCGCGCGCACGTATATGAATTTAATTTTTGTAATTGCATTCGACTCTTTTGCTCTCTTTGGTAGGATTTACTTCTCTCCACAGCTGATATTCTATATTTTATTCTATTCTACTCCATTCTATTCTATTTTATTCTATTCTGTTCTGTTCTATCGTCCTATCCTATTCTACTGTTTGTTCATTTCGTTTATTCACCAGTGACTTTGGCAGCGGGAATCTTCGACACGTTGCCGACACTAATGGCGTTGCTAACTCTGTTGTTGTTGTTGTTGTTGTTGTTGTTGTTGTTGTTGTTATTGTTGATGCTGTTGCTGTCGTTGATGTTACTGTTGATGCTGCTCCGGGACATGACAGATGTGCCGTTGTCACGGACCTGGTTCAAATTGTCCACGCTGATAGCGGAAGTGACGCAAGGTGGCATCACTGCGACATCCTACGTGGTCAAAGAAGCGGTTACGTTAATTTTGGCAAATGTCGCTCATCGCGTCGACAAGAGACAAGTAAATCTCTCTTTATATAGAGCGCTCGAAAAATTCAGCGACACGATCGAGGGTAAATTGCAAAAGACAAGTCCGCGAGCTGTGTGTGTCTCGCATTAGACATATGTATCTCAAGTGACAGAAATTTCATCTCTCCAAAATGCATTTACTGAAATTGAAATTATCGCCGTTTAAATTATCGTCCCGTAGTATCATGCTCTCCCGTGTGTATTTTCAGAATTTTCTTCACGTTGAGTTGCAATTGTCATCAGTGGAACTGAACATCCATCTGATATTCTATTAGAGCGCAACGTATTTGATGTGATTCAACGTTTCTCTCTCTCTCTCTCTCTCTCTCTCTCTCTCTCTCTCTCTCTCTCTCTCTCTCTCTCTTATCTTTGAGTTTTTTTTCCTCTCGCGACTCGTCAAGGACGCGAAAATCATCGGATCGATGACTAACACCGGTCACGCTGCGCCGTCACGCGACGACGTCAACACGACGAGACATGCGGTAAACGGAGACACGTGAGTAAGGCCGTACCTTGTAATTGTCGTAAAAGCTCACTGGCCGGCTCTTTGACGCATACTGAATCTCCTCGTCTGACTGCATTGTGCTTGCACCTTGCGACAGTGTCCCTAAAGGATGCGCGCGCACTTCGTAGAACGTCCTCCACCCCTGTAGGCCCTTCCTTGTCCCTTCTCTTCTTTCCAATTTTGACGGATTTTTACGACCCGAAGGTGGACATGACAATATACGAGTAAACGAGAACACAATGAATTGAACGTCGCGGATTAGGCTGTGTAATCATGTGATAATTTTGTGCGAAGAATTTTGTGTAAGAAGAAACGTAAACGTATCAATTACGTCGTGTTCTCTGCTTGGAGATTACTATTATTGTTGTTGTTGTTGTTGTTGTTGTTGTTATTATTATTATTATTATTATATCGAATGTCCCCATTATGAAAACATCATATTACTTCGTGGTTGTCGTGGCTTTCAAAGCGAGAGACAGAGAGCAGATTTTTAGACAAAAGCGAGACACAGGCGCTTCGACGCGATTAATCGCTCGTCGGTTTATAACTTCGCTACAATTCTTTTTTCATCCTTGTCGTCATGCTAACGATGCACAAAAATTCCATTTCTTTTTCTTCCATCGGAAAAGAGTAAGAGAGAAAACTACACGTCACAGAAACGCGATTGCGCGATTATTACTTCGCGACTTTGCGATTATTCGTTTACGGTACTGTTTATATCGGCCGATGTAAATCCGATGTTTTCATTTCATTTAGTTCATTTAGTTTGAATAGACCATACCTAAAAAGGTATCTTCGTCAGCTCGGATGAGGATCCATGACGATCGTCAGGATCGCCATTTGACAGCGTTATTAGTTTCTCATTATTCTTCCACGTCTCGATTTCCGGATCCTCGCGCAAAATACCGTCGAACATCGAGCGCGGGCGGTGAGTCACCGCGGTCAATCCGCGGGCAATTTTGGCAGGAAATTTCCTCTTAATCCCATCCGATGAGACCTAAGTCACGCGCCGGGGTGCGTCTCTGCATAAAAGAGGGACGAGACGAGGCGTCGTTCCGCGAGGCTCGAGAAGATCGACGACTTTCCCGACGCCCACGTACGCGTCCGCGTGCTCGGTCACGTGCGTCGCGCGCATCCGTCACTCCATAAATGTCTGGAAAATTGAGAATTGGTTGGTTGCATGCCGCGCGCGCGCGCGTGCCTTGTAATCGGCATCGATCATTCGGGCAGGACTCGTTGTCGGACTTCGTCGTCGAGGCACCAGCGAATTCTCGTCGCGGAAACGTCTGATTACCTCGACGTACGGAAGATTAACGATACCGACTCCGAAGGTAACCATCTCAAGTTGTCCTGGACGATAATTTGCAATAATCGTATTCTCGATACGATTATTGCAAATTATCGTATCGAGTATCAATATACATCAATATTAGTATACTGTGGTATATTGTATAGTAGGTGCACGGGACGAAATGTCCGAATCGCTTCTTCCTTCCTCAAAATGAGACAAGTATGACTCACATTGCTCTCAATTTCCGCTGAGCGAGACACTTATCGGCACAATCACTATTTTGCAAAAACGCGACGATCTAAAGAAGGAGAATTGGAAAACGGATAACAAAAATGTGTGTGTGTGTATGAGAGAGAGAGAGAGAGAGAGAGAGAGAGAGAGAGAGAGAGAGAGAGAACTTGAAGCGCGTGGAATGAAGCAGAGGGAAATGTGTAAGCCCCCCGACTGGATTGGAGCGCGTCGCTTTGTAAACAATAATGCCTCCCTCCGCCGTCGGCCTGTAGGTGTTACACTCGGCGGCGCAGAGCATCTCGATTTTACGGAGGTCGTTTCACCTTGCCGAGCTATCCCACGAGCCCATAGCTACCCTGCTGCTCGCAAAAAGAAAACGATATTTCTTCGTGGGAACTCCGACGCAAATTACAAGAGGCGGTCACGGCAGCTACGGGGGCTGCGGGGAGGGGGGGGCTCTCTTTTGACCTAGCGGGACGCTCAAGTGCTGATGAAACTTTGATTCCAGCTTAGTCGCATTTGATTCCTCAAGCCATTAACGCGCGGCTGGTGATACAAGACTCCCCCGCGTCATGCGCGGTTAATGTTTCCCCGAGGGTTACCGGCTCGCAAGTCCGCAAGACCGGTCTCACCGACGAAAACTCGTCCTTTTGCCGACAGACACGCCGCGCCGTCGAGAGTTTCGAGAGATATTCCGAGAGTAGTAACGACGCGCGCAGGGCTAATCACGCGGGTTAAGAGGGCTCAATCAGGGAGAGATTACTTATTTCCAGCCGTGTAACCCCCAAACACACGCCCACGTAGGTAGCCGTCGCGTCGCGCAGAAAACCGGAGGGAACCTATCTATCCTTCATCCGGTGCGGCCGTCGGCGTCGGCGTCAGCGTCAGCGTCGGCGTCGGCGTCGGCGATGATCGATTCGATTATCCGTCGCCGATGTTAAAATGTTCGAATGTTGGAGTCTCATTCAACAGATTCGCGGGAAATTCGCTGGGACGATGATAGCATTTGCACGGTTATTAATAGCGATCTTGCGGGACGCTCGCTAACCTCCGGCCGCGCGCGCGGCCTCATCATTGCCTCTCATGCGCGTAGCATTGCGTAATGTCGCATTAAACGTGGGATCTCGTGCTCCGTCGTGAAAGTAAAGCTACGCTCACAGAGCATCGAGTGGTATAACTACGACGGATACGGCGACGGCGACAGCGACGACGACGATGACGACGACGAGGTCGTGTCGTGGTTCGATGATCAGGCAGGTAAGAACAGAGGATCTTGATGTAATCAACTGTCGCGCTGGTGTCACCTCTCTCTCTCTCCCTCTCCCTCTCTCTCTCTCTCTCTCTCTCTCTCTCTCTCTCTCTCTCTCTCTCTCTCTCTCTCTCTCTCTCGTTTGCTGTTGCGTATGCGAATGCATGATTCGATGCCAGAGTCACTATCAACGAGACGAGAGTGTGCGCACTCCGGCTCCGAAAGCGGCCGACGATTATGATCCAACGATCGGGTTTCCGGAGTTGTAACACACGTTGTCACGACGGTGACCCGCCGTTACGACGGGCAATTTCGATGCGAACAATTGTGCCAGTCCGTTCGTTCGTCGACCGATTGTTCTTTCACACACAAAACGCTACCGCGTTTCGAGGGTACCTTAAGTTTCTATTTCCGTGTTACGCGACGTGGCACCATAAAGCTGGCTGCCAAAGTGAGATTTGACGGAGAAGTCGGAGAGAGAGAGAGAGAGAGAGAGAGAGAGAGAGAGAGAGAGAGAGAGAGAGAGAGAGAGAGAGAGAGAGAGAGAGAGAGAGAGAGAGCCGAAGTGCAGGAACCAGTTTGCGAAATTATTATGCAACGAAGACGCTTTGTGCGTCTTCGAATGCCATGAAGAGCGACTGGGTGAAATGGAAAATAAACGAATCAATTAAAGAGGAACTGAGATTGGAATTAAATGGAAAAATAAATACAAGTGCACGTATGTGTGTGCAAATTCTTTCTATTGCGCGTACGCAATTACAATTACGACTACAATTAGTCCGACAATTGTACGTCTTTACAATCGTCTTTACAATTATTATCCGGAAGGCGACATCTTTTTTGTTGCATATCCGTTTGATGACGTTTATTGTCTGCTGAATTTTTTACCATGTGATTTTTGCAACCGGATCGGCAGACTCTGATAGTTTACGCAACGCGCCAGATTGCAAAAAGTATGTACATACCGATGGCCGATGGTGGTCCGATCGTAGTGTGTACGTATCGTATATATAAACGACGTATGCAGGCTACTGACATTGACTGCTGCGATAACGATAAACGATCGTGTCGCAAACCCAGCTAACTGTTTCGCGTGACACGAAATTCGCTTTCAGAGAACAATCACGCGACATCGATTTGAATAATCGGATAAAGTAATTCGAGAGATGAGAAAAACGCCTGACCGGCCGCTTATGCGAGCGTGCGACGGCTCACGGATGATAAATTATTATCGTTAAATAATTACTATAGGCAGCGGTGTCATCGAAATGAGAAATTATATATATTATATATATTATTATACATTATATATTATATATACATATATTATATATATATATATATATATATATATATATATTATTATATATCTCAATTGCGACGCTTCTTTTTTGCCATCTTCTTTCCATTTAATTCTAATCAGTTCCAATCAGTAATTCGTTTGTTGTTTCAGCGGATGCATGTATCTCAAGATGCTGACATCAGTCGCTGGTTACGTGATAATAATCACATACGACTGATGATTATGTCTGCATTAATGACTCGCTGTTAATTGAGAAGTAGAAGCAAAAAAGATTAATGCAATTAAACGTTTCTCACGGAAACTCTAGTGGTTGTGGCCAGTGAAGCACACATTTTCTCGGTTTCCAAACGATTCGAACACTTTTTCTTTAACAGTCAAACGAGATAGAGAGAGAGAGAGAGAGAGAGAGAGAGAGAGAGAGAGAGAGAGAGAGAACTTAACTCCTGAAAATTAATAAAAAAATGTATAAGATACAAGTTATTAGATAAAATATAAAATATTAATCTTTGATTAATTTTTAGAAATTAAATTCTCTCATTGAACTCTATAGGCTGCGATTGAAGCTGCGTCGAGAGAAAAGGTGGTTGAGTGAGTTGTTTCAAATGCCCTCTCAAATGCCTCTCTCGTTTTGAGAAACTGCTTCATCTAATAAGAACGGCTCACACACATATTCTTCTAAATTGCAGGAAATACGTGACGTCGAGAGAGGCGACACGTCTCGCGGTCGTCTTGAATGCTGTTTCCGTAATTTATAATAATTTTCATTAATTTACATTAATTTGCATCGAAATCGGAATGTTTCAGTCGGAATGAAGGTTTCATGCATATTACGGTAATGTTGCACGTTATTCAGAAGTGCATTCCACGTCGTGCGATATAATATTGATCGGAATTATTTTAATTAGGACTCCGTCGATGCGCTGTACTGTACTGTCTAGCGCGAGAACACTTGATCGAGTCGCCATATGCTGAATCAAAACGCGACCCGCGATACAGTTTTCCCTGCGCGGTTTCTCTTTCTCTCTTTTTCTTCCGATCCTTTCGTGGAACGTATATTAACAGCAACTGCTAAGATCGTACGCGCGATCATAATCGAGAAATCGATGATCTCACGTGCAGTATATTAACGACTCCAATATATATAAAAGCCACGACAGCACGAGTTTTTTTTTTTTTTAAACGACCGAGGAAAAATAATTACTTTTGATTGTCACAGACATCGGAAGAGCTCTTTATGCCACTTCAATTCAATTAAATTCCTTCCCTTCTCAATATTTCCCTCAAATTATTTTATCCCTTCATCGTCGATTTAATTTTCTCCATATTTAATTTAATTCAATGATGTCACCGAGAAACAGCAGTAAGGAGCGTCTAGAAAAAAATCGGACATCTTTTGAAGACGTTCTTGAGACAATTTTTCAGAAATTTAGAAGCTTATGCACAGTCTGGGAGGTTCTTCAAAAGAGATTCGTCATTCGTCATTCGTCATACGTCATTCGTCGTAGCATCGACGTAGTAGATTATCGAAGCAACACGGAGCGGTCGTTTTCGAGCTTCGGTGAAAGTTTACGCGCGTCGCGTACATACGCGCGGACGCGCGTAAAAATTGTTAAAAACCGTCCGCGTCAGCAGTTAGCTACCGCGAGAAAGTTCGCGCTCGCATTCTGTCACGCTCTCGTCGGTTTTCGTTAGATAGGTATCCATCAAGCGATGGCGCGTCTCGAGATGCCGCTCGTTCGGGATCTTAACTAATTAGCTGGACGCGTATGGTCGGGTAAACACATCTTATAATTCGAATGTGCGATACGCGCGCGCTCGCGTCTCTCTGCTGACCCAAATAGCACGCGGCTTTTCTAGCTTCCGAGAGAGCGAAGAGCAAAGCGACACTGGATCTCGAATAATTCTCCACGGCCGATAGGGCGCGTACGTATTGCATGAAATATCAGTATCAGGCGATATATAGATTATTCGTAGATGAACGTCGAAAATTATGGTAAGGTGAAACGGGCCGGACGGAGAGGACGAGAACGATCCCGCCGAGAAGTGCGCGTGTACATATATTATCCGCATGTGCTCAATCCGCCGCGCCGGAAGAAAGGGGAAAAAGAAAACAAATCAAAGACCGTCGCGCGTATTCGCGGCGACACGAATCGAGAAAGGTTTGTTAAACCACATATCTGTGGTGTATGTGATATGGCGACATGCCGCATAGCACATTAATTGCACATGCTCGGGATAAGTAGCGGCAATTTTCTCGTCTTTCTTTCTTCTCTCATTGGAGATGGATAAAACGAGCGATCGCGTATGGATTTTGCGTAACGATGTTTCCTGAACTGCAGAGGTTATCTATCTACGAGGCATTCGGCGAGATCGTGAGACACGTATTATGGATCAACAGTCATCAGCCGCCTCATTATATATTCCGGCTATTTTTGTCGGTTTTTTCAACGGCTTCAAGGTGAACGCGAGACCGGGCAGGGCCGGGCGTGATCAGTTCATTAAATTCCATCTGTAATACCGGAGCGTCTTTATGCAAACTGATCGCACGTTAAGTAGCCGGTAATGGGGGGAATGTTGTAATCGCATCTTTGACTACGCGTGGGCGTGGTCGTATTTACTTAAATGAAGGTATCACGCGGGTGGTTATTAATTATCAAAAAATATTTGTCATACGAGAAAGACGGCGCAAATTCCGCGCTGGTAAGATCGAATCCCCTCGCCCTCGCGTCGGTGGCATATTCGCAAAACTTCCAATTCATCTCGAGAGAATGAACGGCGAATATATGCGCAAGTTGGATGAATACACACAGCAATTCAGGATCAATCTTCTCGTCACATTATGCGCAATGACCGATTCAATGTTTGAACAACATCAGAGAGCAAACGTATTATAGTTACCGCGATAACATTGAATCGTGCGTGCGTGATCGTTTCACGGATCGTATTATCGATTCTCATAGATTTGTACCTCGCAGCAACTAGAATCCGCATGTGCCGTTCAGACTCCTGCGTGATTTATGAAACTATCAACTATCGATTTCTCGACATGCGAGTTGCATACCCGCCGTTTCCAAATAATAGCACGTGAAATCGAAACTAGATTACAAGCACCGGGATTGCAACCTCGGGATTGCCAAAGCTCCGAGACCTTGTGCCTTACACTATTTCGACGTCGTAACGCTCTTCGATTGAATATAACCGGGTCAGAGAGAGCCAGAGAGAGCCAGAGAGAGCCAGAGAGAGCCAGAGAGAGCCAGAGAGAGCCAGAGAGAGCCAGAGCCAGAGAGAGCCAGAGAGAGAGAGAGAGAGAGAGAGAGAGAGAGAGAGAGAGAGAGAGAGAGAGAGAGAGAGAGAGAGAGAGAGAGACACGAGAATAATATACCGCGCACTCACTGACAATAATAATTGGAATGTTTTTTGACACAATCGGCACTGTAGCTCCACCGACGACGTCGCGATGACAACTGAAAGACCGCGTATATGTACGTGCGTCAAGGCGGAGCTGAAGAGGCGCCCCCCGGAGTGTGCCTACCGAAGTCGGAACACACCAGGTGTGTCAGAGAGCCTCAAACCGGGGAAATTCTGCCGGCAGGTGAGAACAACCGTACGTTTGACCTGACTAAGGATAATCATTTCATGTACGGCGACGGCTGGCCTGGAAGCCGATACATGTATTTACTGTGAGTGAAAACTTGTTGCCGAAAATTCGCAAATTGTCCGAATTGAATTTTTTTATGCTTTTTCGTATGTTTATTTAGAAACGGTTGTAACGATTGTAAATAAACGGTTACAAATAGATTACGGAAAACCAATATAAATTGACGTCTGTGTTAAATTCACGTATGTGTATATATATATATATACCCATTTATGTATAATACAGAGAGTTGTTTGATATTTTGTCATATCTGAAAGGACCTTGAAGTTGCCCAATCGAGAAATGTCTGCTTACAATTTGCACGAGAGGGATACCAACTTTTTGGAGAGATCGTTTTCTTTCGATCGATGTATCTGTATCATACTGACCGCTTTCCGATAGAAAGCGCGTCTCTAGTGCAATTTTTTCTTCGGAGCTGAGCACCACTGTTGTTACTTTCACGTCGCTGGATGATTCAGGCCTGATGAAAGAACTTATGGAAAATAATAAAAATAATAAGAAGAAGAAGAGTTTTATCCACTGGCCCCTGTCTACCTTGAGCGGTTCTCCGTCACTCTATCCTGTCCCTTTCGAAACATCTTTCTGTCAAACTGCTTTACCGTTGCACAACCCTCCGCTCGCGATTTTCTCAATTTTATTCTTGTAACAGTATTTTCCAAGATAACGTCAATGTGAGGAGGATATCTAGCAAGTGCCTCTCATGTCTGACAATCTTATTTTTCTTTCCGATGTCTCGTAATAAAGGAAAAAAAACAAAATAATTAAAAAGGAAAAAAATAAAAAAGGCATTTATGCTAAACGTGTTAACGTATTTCTATTTTTCGTAACATTCTTTCAATACATATCGAATCTTTCCTAGAACTGCCGTGAAAAAGATTTTTCCTCTCTTCGTAGCCTAGGCTACGACCTCGAGTGAATAATAAGTGAATAATAAGTGTTGTTTGCAGAGAGACTTCG